CTGGTAGAATGTAAATGTATAGAAATAATATATACTTGTAGAAATAACTCCTATATATATAAGTAATATATATGTGTATAAATACGTATGTGTGTACGGGTATGCACGTGTGTGTGTGCGTGTGTATGTTTGTATGTCTATGTATGTACGAGATAGTGCATGAGTGTGTGTTGGAGTGCACCGCACCCTGCTCTCGACCCACGACCGCTTCAAGGGTTAATTTATGAGGCGCGATAAGCGAATTCCATTTCGTTTCGGTTTTGTTTAATTTCCGATTTTCTGTGCTGTTGCTGTTGTTATTTTATTTGGTGCTGTGGCTGTTGTTGTTATTTGATTTGGTGTTGTTTTTGTTGTTGCCGCGTTGTATTTACATTTGCGCAGCTTCTCGTGCTGCGGCTTTCAAATTACAATGGCAACCGAAATGGAATGGCAGCCTCAGCCTGACTGGCAGTGTCAAGTGGAAGTGGTTGACGAAGGAGGAGGTGGAGGAGGAGGAGGAGGAGGTGAAGCTAAAGGGAGAGCCGGCGACCGGTCCGACGAGAATGTGCGACACCGTGTTATCGGCACGTTTCGTACCGGTTTCTTTTTTATTTTTGTGGCGGCGGAAAATTCGAAATGACACGTTTCCGAGTGCGCGTCCCGGCCTCCGATCGACGCGAATCTCCCCGCCTCTGCGACTGTTTGAGCTTTTAGCCACCCCTGACTGTTAATCTGCGGTTTTAATGTTCGAGTGGCGCAAATTGGCGAAAGGGTTCGAATTACACGCCCAAATAAGTACAAACAGCTACAAAAATGGCAGACAGACATGCAGGAGCAGGTACAGGAATATGAACAGGAGCAGAATCGCTCGATAATGGATGGGAAAGAGACAGAGAGAGAGAGAGAGAGAGAGAGAGAGAGAGAGAAAGCTGGATAGGTGAGTAGACATATACATTTTGTGAAGAAATCAAATTTAAAGCGCAACCGTTCCACATCCTCATTATCACGCGTGCCCAGAGTTCATTCCTCCTCCGACTTTCGACCTCTTCGCACATATCACAAATCCGCAGCACAAAGTTTTGCATTTTCATTAATTTAAATGCATTCGAGTTTTGTTTTGTTCAGATCCGCAGTGAAGCTTTGTTCAATTCTGGAGCTTATTGTGGATGTCGTTGTAGCTGCTCTTCACGCTTTGCGTGTTTGGCTGCATTTTCGAACCATTTTCCAAATTTCCGCGCAAGCCGCAATGCGTGACTCGCCTCACTTTTACTTTGGTAGACTAAGTCGCGGTTAATGTTATTGTTATTGCTGTTGCCATTGCTGTTGTTGTTTTAGTTTTGTTGGCGCTTTAATTAGCCAGCGCAGTAGTTAATATTAATTTTATGACGAAATTATTCGCCAGCCGCGCCGCACCGCTCGTCGAGTTAATGCACTCTGTAATTGTTTATTTGCCGCTAATCTGTGAGATACATTTCAAATGCGCTGCAATATCTATAATCTTGAGGTCCATAAAAATGATCTAAAGTGCGAGTGACGGTGTGAAAATCACAGACTAGAGAAAAACTAATTTATGGGCATGGAAAACAAAACACATTTTAGGTAGCGATAAACATCCATTTTACAGCCTCAATGCTTAAATAATTACGATCTTACAATTTCAATCTCATATTTTTGAATGATATGTTACTCTCGAATTTTGGAGTAAAGCCTATGATATCACTGCAAAACAGTGTTTGAAAAATATTAAGTAATAAGTTAGGTATTTTTCAAGAAATGCTGTTTTTAAGATGCTCCGTACTGTACAATTGTAAGTCAATAAATTTGTGGAACTTGTGCTTAAATTGGAAAAGGTATCTAATACGTATTGTAATTTGATTTAATACGCAAATGACTGAAATTGAATATCAGCCCACAAAATTAATTTGTTTCTAAGAATAAATGTTGATTATTTCTTATCCACAGCTATCTTTTCCTTGGAGCCAAGCCCAAGTACTCTGCAGTAATAATTGCTCCTCAAACTCAACAATAGGCAGATAATGGAAAACAAAGTTAAAACCCAAAACCGAAGCTACTGTCAACAATCAGTTCCAAAACCGAAACAAAACAAAATAGTAGTGGCAACTCAGAGAGTTAATTACTTGTCAAACAGCGAATGCTAGTGTTGTAATTGCACGAATGACTATTCAACTCCAACGCCAGCGATTTATTACAAAAGCAAACAAAAGAGGCGAATGGCAATGAATGGCAGTGAACGGGGCACGAGCGGTCAGTGAGTCGTCGATGGCGAGTGGTTGGGATGGGGACCCACTTGGATTCGGATTACAAGTGGACTGTGACGTCTAAAGCACAGGCTCGGCACGTACCGCCATGGCCATGGACTCCAAGAGCCAGAGCCAGAACCTGAACAAGAGCAAGAGCAAGAGCCAGAGCCGGCTCCGATTTCAGGGCAGTGAATGCTAGTGGTTTCGCGAGACTGCATGGAATCTCGAAACAAGATTTGTTTTCTCAGCGCCAACAGCAGGCAATTAAACGAGTCGCAATTACATGGTAGGTGGATGGCCAGAGCGGGTGCAACGGGCGTTTGAGGGGCTTTTGTGCGTATGCCATCCAATGCGCATTCGTTTCCAATTAATGCCACTTTGCGAAACTGCTCGCCTCGCTTCAGTGAAGTATGTGGAACTTTTACGACTGCCATACAATGGGACAGAACTTACATCGGGGTGTAAGATTGCATTTTTGGATGTAAAATAATAGGGGGCCCAACAATTTTTGATTTAATATGAACAATCAGATACGAGTAATTTAGAGTAAAATTTGTTGGTCTCTGTCTCACTCCACTTTTTTAAATCAAAAGTTTTGATTCAAATTGAACGCTCTTTTTAAAGAAATATTAAAACAATTCTATTTCGCGTCCACAACAGTGTTCAGAAGATTTCAATTTAGTCCATAATCTTCTTTCTTATAATGTAAGAACTCTAATTTCATTAAGCATATGATCACAATATGCTAATTATACTTCTAGTTTATTTGCATCGATTGTCTTGTCCCTTTAACAGTATATAGCATATACAAGTATATACTTTATTTATGAACAAACTTTTGAAGCAATCCGAACTTCTTGAAATGCTGCTGCCTTCAATATAAACGTTATTCCTCTATGTTAAGTTTGAAGAGAAGACTTTGAACATTCAATTTGGTTCCAATATTCTTATGAATAGACAATTTTTTGAAATCGCACCGTTCCTATAACAGCTGTTATGCTGGTAAGATTTTGATGTCTTTCATCATGCTGTACATACAAGTATGTATATGCAGAAATAACACCATTCTCTGGATGTTAGAAACTAAGAACCCAAAACTATATGCCCCTCAACATTTAAGCGAATGAAGGGTGACTGTAAAGTTTTGGAAATGTTATCATTATTATGAGAATTTTCTTTGGATATAAGTTTAGCTCAAAGCGTTTCAGTTACTTAAAAAAAACCTTTCCTCGACTTCTCCCGTAGTGAACAGTATCCCTCCATAGTACCAAAACCGAGTTACCCACTACCGTTAACAGAGTGGGTTGTTGTTGAAGCAATATAAGCAACGACGATGAACTAATTAAGGCGAAGTGAGTGGCATGCATATGAGGCAGTGGCTCCTCGTCCGGCAGCTCATTCGCTAGCTCTCGAACAATTTTTAAACAATCAGGCTGCATAATCAACGCCATTATCGGCCACATAAAACCCGATCATGATCGGGTTTTATGCACGTCGTCGGTGATGGTTTATGGGTGATGGTTGATGGTTGATGGTTGATGGAAGCGATCATGATCGTGATCGTTGCGGTAGTCACCATCGCTATGCGGGGCGCAAGTCCACGCTTAAATTCGTAAATAGATCATAAAACGCTCATAAAAACAATTTAACGACATCGACAAGCGAAGCAAGGTATGTCAATGGTTACGGCTATGGCCACAAAATGACTTGCTCTATGATCCGTTTATCGTTGTGGGAAGTCAGCAAATGTACATATTTGTATTTAAAATGTTTGTATTTAAAAACCTGAGCGCATTTCTCAGCGGCTACGTAAAGATGTGTACAAGTATTCTAATTTCCATGTGCTTTCGTGTAGTTGTCTGCCGCACCCACAGTGAGGATTGATTCCCGAAATGCTATGTACTATATAGTATATGTTTTGGTTCCTTTGTTATGCAGTTCGTCTACCGCCATACAAAATATTCATACGTGCCCATTTTAATTCATTTGTTTAATGGGTGCGACAACTTTTATGAGCGATATACAAGTATGTGGATCAATTGAGGTCTTCACATATCATCGCATACCGCTTTATTTGGCAGCGATGGATCCATCAAAATGATTTACAGTATATTCCGACACTTGTCTCATAAGGTAAATGTAATTACTTAACTGTTTGAATCAAATTTTAAAGCCAGTCGTATTTCAGAAATCATTCGCTCGCATAAAATACACAGAATGAAGCGCGGCTTTTGAGTAAACGATTGCCGCTGCCTGATCGCAATCGATATTTTATCAAATATGTTTGTCGAAAAATTATTACTATAAACAAACAAGCGCTCATTGTCATTGTCCAGCTGGCTGACTTATTGACTGACTGGATGAGTGACTGAGAAAGTGAAAAACAAAAGACATAGCCAGAGTCGAAGTCAAGATGGCACAAAAGAGTGGCAGAAGGATTTATGATAGGCTCGGTGAAAGTCCCAGGCACCAGGAACATAAAACGTGCCATGTGACTAATGCGACGAGAAGGGTTCACATTCATATTCTTCGAGAAAGTGTCCTCAAAGGCGCGCAGCAGGTAAAGTCCATCTGCTCGGTTTCAAGGACATTTATGCCTTAAAAAAAGAAAGCCAAACGGACAAGCCGTTTCTCTTCTTTCATATTTTTCTTTTCCAAGTGGTTAATAATTTTTGGCCTCGCAAATTATGAATATTCAATGCCATTGCCATCGTTAACTGTAAAGGGTTTTCATAAATGCGTTTATAATTGCGTACTTACCATTGAAATCGCCACAAACGACGCGCTCAAACGGACTTCCCATCCAATCTGGAAAAAATAAAGTAAAAAATATTATTTCATTTCTGTATACATGCCATAAAGGAGTTCGTCAAGGGCACAACATAGTAATCCATTAGAGAACAACTTGTATTCGACGCCGTCTTATAAGTTAATTTCTAAATTAAATGCGCAAATTCGAAAAAACTTTCGGATTGATTTTTAAAACAATAATAAACGAACAATTAACGCATTGAGTTATTATAAAGCTATCGATAGCAAGTTTGTCCCACTCCCTAAGATCTCGGTATTACCGCCTTAGATCTTGGACTATTTCTTTACAACATTTCACCTATATATAGTATGTACATTACACTAAACCTACTATCTAGAACAAGGCGTGGAAGACCCCAAAAAGAAAATTTCAATTTATGTATATTCAGAAATACAAACATCCCGGAATGTATTGACTATAGTTACCAATCATTTTTGATTCAGATTAAATTCTTGTTCAACAATCAAAATGCTGTATATTAATGATTGTTCGCCCAATTTAATCTTATGGGGCAAAAAGATCTTCGCTATGCTTCTGACCTACGACACATATAGTATAAGTACGCTTAACATAATTGTTATGATCGGGAATGAAGGCGATATTGATAAGAGAGCGCCCACATACTTGCAGTAACATGTATATTATTATAGATTAGTATACCTTAAGCCATCTAATCTTTTCAGTATGCACTGTTTCATAAGCCCCTCCGCATATTTGACTTTCCCCTTCAATTCCAACTCCCCCTAAACATCTCAATCGTTGCATCTCCCATTTAGCTGTCAGCAGTGAGCAAAGAGCTGAAATCATGCTCGGCCACAAGACCACCAACAAAGCGTCGCTGGCCAGTTCGTCCGGCTTGAGTTCCAAAGTAGATCACGACGCAGTGCGACGATGCGCAGCCAAACGACGCAAAGCAACGCAACGCGACGCAGCTCGACGCGACGCGTTATTTATGAACATGAACAGAAGAAGCTGTGGCCGCCCTGATGATCTGAAATTGTGGAGCTTCAACGAGAAGGCGCGCGTTTTGCGTTTTTAATTAAAATACACAAATTTCTGTGCAGTTTTCGTTGTCGTTGTGCTTTTTATGAGCCGCCATCGTCACCGCCTCAGCCTGCAGCCACCCCACAGGCAAATAGCACTACAGACACTCTCTAATATGAACAAATTTGTCAGCCTGCAAGGCAGTGGGATGGACTGAAGGGGTAAGACGGGGAACACAGACAAACAGGCATGTAGAGTCTCTTTGCGTGCTCCTTGTAGCGTTGACGATTGCAAAATTTATGCGCCTGCGTTCTTATCGCCGACTTCAGCCAGTCAGTCGACTATGACAGAAGCTATCGTTGGGTCCAAGCACCCACAACCCGCACACCCGCAATCATACATGCCGCAGACGCTTCTCTCAAAATCGCAATTGCCACTGGTGTTCGCTGCTGTCTGCTCCAACATGGAGCATGGCCGATGCAAGAGCACGTGCTGTGCCTGCAAATTCTGCAAAACTTTCACCTCACCCTCACTATCTTTTCCCATCCAATTTCATCTGGCCATCGTCTGGCGCACTTACTCTTCTCTCTCCCTCTCTGTTTTTCTCTTCCCCGCTTTTCCAGATAATTAAGAAAAGTTAACCTTTTTGCTTTCTTATCAGCACTATCAGCGCCTCAGCCGGAGTTAGAGGAACAACAACTACTGCAGCTATACATACTTGTATAAGTATGTACACGTATATGCAGAGCCAGTGCGTCGCGCAACGCTCTTCCTATCCCTAACTCCTTCTCTTGTCGATTGTCTGCGGCGGCAACATTGTTGTTGTGGTTGTTGTTGTTGTTGTTGGGTTTGTGCAACGATGTGAAAATGAAAATTCATTCAGACACTTTGGCGTAAAATATTAAAATTCATTAGTTAAATTGCATTTGGCAAGCAGCTATGTTCCCTCCTGGCTTCGCCCGACACCCACCTCATCGAGCAGACGAGTGCAGTGCGTCCGGGTCTCACTCGGCTGGTTGTCGGCGTCGGTGCCAGTGCCAGTGCCAGTGTCGGCTGTGCCTTCACTGGCCTGGGAGAAAGCCAGAGCCACACCGCAACATTCTATGCAGAGGGAATGTGTGGAGTCGGCGTTGGATGCCGCTGTTGTCTTTCCTGGTAACTGCTCTTCCGACTCATTGCATGCATATGCATGTTCTATTCCCGTAGTATTTGTGTGCGAGAGTGTGTCTGCATAGGTGTGTGTGTGTGTGTGTGTGTGTGTGTATGTGTGTGTGTGTGCTGCGTCGACGTGTCGCGCACACTTGGCTACAATAATGGCGTCATGCTCATATTTACTTTCATCGCAGCCAGTCTTCGTCTATGATCTCGTTGACAATTTTATCGTTTTTGTGTTGTGAGCGCGAGATATGCAAAATATTTCATTGTGCGAAATACCGTTTATCTTGCCGACTCGACGCTTTTCATTGGACTTAAAGAGGGAGACGGGGTCCACTTCGCGACTGCATTTGAAATGACGCCAACTTTGTTGCGGACTACCATAGCCTGCCACACTGCCCCTGGTCAGTCACTTTTCCACTTTGTGCTCAATAATACATAAGAAATAACCCACGAATGCTTTCAAGCGTCGGGCCCATCTGAATTGTTTCAGAGAACATCGATTTTTGAATGTATACTGATACGTATACTCCTACACGAATTTGTACTTATGCATGTGATAGACCCTTTTTAATAAAGTCAAAAAGTACCGAAACTCTTTTTTTTACAACCTGCTCATGGGGATTGTGGATTAGCCACTCTGGTCGATACGACATAGGCGATAGGTTAGTCTAGTGCTTGTAAATTGATTCGAAAGTCAACCAAATACGAATATGCGAGAGCTTTCGGGGAAATAAAGAGATCAATTAATGGTGCGAATGTATGCAACACTCAGAAGTAGCCGTAGAAGTCCCCATAAAGCGTATATTCTTGATGACTATTGTGAGACACACCGATAGGCCTCTTTTTTTTTAAGTGTATTTAATTTGTTATTTAAAATGTAATGAACATTACCATATATTATTTGATCTACCTTGCGCTTGAAAGCTATATCGGATTGCAGATTTGTTCGGCTTCTAAAAAAATTAAAATCATTAGGGACCACTTAAATTACCGCTAGTCAAGCACTGCTTAGGAACTGATTAAACTCACACTACGAATGGGAAAGTATAGTACAAATATATAACTTTATATATAGCCTAGACTGACTATCTAATTCAGTATCTGTGTATTCATTTAAATGGTCATTGAGCAGAAAAGGATGAGTGGATATACCATGTATCTATATAATTTCCCATCTGACTACTAGATTCATAGTAATTAACAAAACAGACCTTTGTAGTTCCTTCGATAAAGCATTGATATCAGAAATTTGGTGGGGCTTGGTGCTGCCACTACTATACGAGTATAAGTTTCTTGTCTCGTCACGAGGTTTTTATTTTGTTAAGAAGTTACACTAATGAATGAAAAGCAGCAGCGCGAGCCCGATTGTATTCACTGTACAGTGTACGCTGTATTTTCTGTACCCTGCTGTCACTCCACCACAATCAACTGATTCAAACATTTTTGCTCCAATTGTTATGTGTATTTCAAATATCAAATTTGGTTAAGATACCTTCAAAGGCAAACATGTATTGGTTTTAAGAGCGATTTTTTGCTATGATTCTTTCTCAATGCTTCGTGATATTCTAGTTTCATCAAGACCTGTGCACCATATACAAGTAATATAGTATAACAGAAATCCGACATAACTGAATGAATGACTGAGTGTAGGGAAAAACGGTAGATACAGGTTATTCGAGAATGGTTAATTAATTTAGATATGTTAATAGTGATGCGGTAACAAGAAAGTCGTCTACTGCATTCATTTCGATACATAAATTTTGACGAACTGAAATATCATCTGTATTAATATATTTCAAAGATCTTCTTCTGCTGCCGTCGCCATTCAAAGCTCATTCGCGGGCAGTTTATAATTCAACCGAATTGGTAGTCATTTAATATTTGGTGCTCAATAAATCGCAGCCACAACACTTGCCAGGCATTCAACCCCACACGGACGCTTGCGCATATACTATAAGTCTATATGTGTGCCCGCATATTTGTGTGTACTGTGAATGTGAAGAAAATCAAGTGTGTACTAAGTACAAAAATCAAATAAATCTCCTATACGAAATGCACTGAGAAATGAGCGGCGCGTAAATTAAACTGACCCACGTAAATTTTCGTACTACGTTTGGTGCATAAAAATACAGTTTCGTACTAACGAAGAAGAAAAGCAGCAAAACGCAAAACATCAAAACAATACCAAGAAGAACGAAAACGATCGCTCTTGTGAATGCTCATACTTGTAGAGTATACGGATACAGCAAATGTATTTTGTATCTGGCTGAGTGTTACTACTTGTATATGTACATATATGCGCGGAGCACATCCGAGAGCAAGTATATGCTTGTGTTTGTGTCGGTGTGGGTGTGGGTGTGGGTGTGTACAACCTTGAGGCTATTTAAATTACACACCGACCGAGCTTTCAGAAAACATTTTTCAACTATTTTCAATTTTATTTAGTGCCACTTTTTAGCGTTTCGTGTATCTGCGTCTATCTGTCGCACTTCTAGCATTGCGCTGGTGTTTGAAACAGTTTTTTATTTACTGTTGAGACGAAGAATTATGCGAAACGAACAACTTGGAAATGCCCCTCAAAGTGTTCATTAGGAATTGTTTGATGCCCGAGAATTGGTCTAACGAGCGCGTTTATCTTTTGTTTATATGGCGGAATGCCCATCAAAGTATAAATTAAATCATCTGCGGGCGGGTGTCCCGGTAATTACGTGCCCGTCCGACCCTGATTTATGCCGAAGTGTACGCATAGATGTACATCTATAATTTTTTATGTTCGCTGCCATGTTTAGTGAATAAGTTTCAAATAATAAAGTGGATGCTATTATACAGTAAAACGTGACTCACCTGTAAGCGTCATCCAGGGATATCGTGGCAGATCCGCAATGCTCTGGCCAGCTCCTCCAGCGCCCGGGACAACGCCAGACGACGGCTGCGTGCAGGCATTGCCCAGAGAGTCGACACCAATGGCCCCGGCGCTGGCCGCCGAAACAGCGGATGCTGCTGCTGCGTGCTGATAGAACTGTGCGAACTGAGCTGACGCGGAGGCAGGTACACTCATCGACTGGTAGCTGTTCATCACGCTATCTGTGTACCTGCTGGGAGTGGGAACAGGGGCGAGAAGCGAAAGAGACGAAGAAAAGATTAGCATAAGCGGTCGAAGCAATGGCACAGCCTTGTTTAAGTATGCTCGTCCGCCTCTCCATTGGAAAATCAAAAGTCAAATGCTAATGAGCCACGCACGGACACTTTACCGATGTATAGGCCGTGAACCCTGCGGTCTCTGCTAATTGAGCACTAATAACGAACGCAAACCCAAATTAGCCCCGCCCGCTGCGTGGGCGTGCGACCGACCACGAGTCCCCGCCGTATGCAAATATGGGCAACCGAAGGTCAATGTGCGTGCGAATCTCGAGGAGAGGACGACAAATTGCAGCTGCTAATGCTAAGCCACCGCAGTGCCGCTCTAATTCGAGCGGACTCAAGCGGCGCGCTCTGGACGGGACATTAGAGTAAATGCAAAGCGGATTTGCGGTTGACCAGCAGTATGAGGAACTTGTGGGCACGCATTTCATTGAAACGAAAATGGAACTTGAATGCCTTGAATGTGTCGACAAACTATTTCGTTCATTCGTAATATCGCATGCGTTTTGTATAAGCAGGTAAGGAGCCCCATTTGTCGGCGTGTACTTAGTATGACGGAACATGAACCGGAATAAGATGAATCTCTTAGTTTTAACTTTCGACTGTGACATGCGTGTTCGTTTTGAATAAATTCGAATACTGAATCATGAATGAAACGGTATCCCTCAGATAAGCTCAGATAAGCTTCAATTATATTCCAAATGTGAAAGTGATTTTTTCTCAGTTCTTAGCGGGATAGAGTGATAGGAAACCCATAGAGGAATCGAATTTAATTTTCAAATCAAAATGTTCATCGTCTCTATAACACATTATTGGATTCTATGTCAATATACAATAATTATTCTAACGTTCATATATATAGTCGTAAGGTCATCATTTGATGTTAGTCAGTGCTTTCTCACCTGCAGGATTTGTCTTCGAGGCCCGAAAATCCGGGCATGCCGGAGAGGCCGCCATGGCTGGTGGGATGATTTGACACGTACGGATACATCTTGCTTGTCGGTATGGCAAACGAGGCGGCTGCTGCAGCTGCAGCGGCTACGGAACTAGCGGCTGACGCAGATGCTGATCCAGGCGAGTTGTCGTTGAGGCTGCGGTGCAATGAGGAGCTGGCCGAGGGCGAGGGCGAGCAGCTGCTGTCGCCGGTCTGCGAGTTGCCGGCGGAGGGAGGCGTGAGTAGAAGCTGTTGCTGCTGCAAGTGCGCGTGGGCGTGGCGCAGTTGAAGGGCGGCGGAGAGCGAGGAGTACTGAGACTGCTGCTGATGCTGCTGCGACTGCTGCGCCTGCTGCTGAAAGAGCGCGGAGGACGCGGGTGAGGAGGAGGAGACCGGCGAGTTCGACGACTGGTTGAGGCTTAGATGATGATGCTGATTGTTTGTCGCACTGGAGCTCGGCGAGAGTGAAGCGGACTGTAGGTGATTGGCGGTACTGCTGCTAGTGTTGGCACTGCTCTGGTTGGCCGCGGAGTTCGTCGTGGAAGCTGCGGAGGCGGCGGCGGCGAGTGCGGCGGCAACTGCTGCTGATGACGAATTTGTTGGGGTTGTGGTTAAGTGCGAACTTATAAATGGTTGGAACTGTGGGTACTTTGGCAGCATACTATCGAAAACAAATTTTGACATTGCACATATTTTTCTCTGGCCGAGAATCGCCGAAATGCGCTCGCTCGTATTATAATCGCTGGCGGGCAGTATTCTTTAAATTTCGTGGATAACGCGTCAGTTTGTTTGTGTGATTTTAATTCAACGCATGTATATCTGAGGCTGTGGGACCTGAGATACACAGACGTAGTTGGTTTGTGTGCTTCTTGGGACTTTTAACAAATTTGGTTCGAATTCAGGTGACTAGGTTAACTTAAGTGCTCGGTCATCAGTCTTAAGCAGCAAAATTCTTGAAGCAGTTTTCACATTTTAAAGGCCCGACTTTGAAAGAAAGTACTAGATTTTAATGAATTTGATTGAAGTGGTTGCTTAAGATTTGTTCTACTTGTATTTCAAGATATACTTGTATGTCTACACGGCACAGTATGTGACTAAACTATGCCTCAACAATCGGCGTATCATATGCACGGACCCTATTCGAAAATCGAATAATCAAATTTCAGGAACACTTGCTTATAGTATTTGTGGGAAATGTTGACTTTTTATTAAACTTTAAATGTGTGGCAGCCCATTTAATAAAAATGAATGGGCTTCGTATATAATTCAAATAGGTCATAAAAACACACTTTATACATTTTTCAGAACTTAATCTAATTTAAATGTACTAAAAACAAAATAGAAATGTCAAAACAAAATTGATTTGATTAATTAAGAGCAGTCGACAATAATACGATAGAAAGAAATATTTCTTGCTATAAAAATAAAATAGTCTATCTATTCCATATAATTCTCTTTTGAATTTGGTAAATCAAAACATAAATCATACAACCAAATGGTTTTCTTTCCCTCTTTATTATTCGGGTAAATTGTAAAATTCGAATTCGTAGTACATCTATGTGAAACCTCTGAATCAATTGTATTTTGCGGCCTAAAACTTCCTTCGGCTTAACTCTTCTTACAGGTAAAATATTCACGCGTCAAAATTATTTCCACAATGCCAAAGGTTAGTACAGGGGCTCAAGGGGTTTGAAAAAATGTCGTTAGTAGACCAGTGGTCGGCTTTAAAAAGTTAGTACATGTTTAGTATAGAGAGTTGAAGAGTAAGGCAGGGAGATGTCGAAGGCGTCCTTTTACAAATTGGACGCATCCTCTCCATTTGCAAAACAGATATTCATTTTCTTTACCTTTGCTAGTTTGCTTTGCTAATTTTTTGCTTATCAATTTGCTTGGCCTTTTGTTTCTGCCTTATTTGGTGTTGCTGTTGCTGTTGCTTTCGTTTTGCAGCGAAATCGATGACCGTTTTCTGTTTGCTGATTGGCTTTTGGCATTTGGCAACGCACTCGAACGATTTGTGCAATTTTTCAATTGAAATTTGCAACTTGAATTCACAACGAAATTTGTTAAATTTGCATATGTTTTCAGTTGTTGTTGTTCTAATTTTTCCTGTGTACAGCTGCAATTTTTGTTGTGGCTGTTTGGTGTTGGTGCTTATGTGTGTGTTGTAGGCGTGTGTGTGTGCGACATTTATTTGTTGTAAAAGCAATTAAAAAGTGACAATCAATTACACGGAAAATACGCGGCGATTTCGAAGGCGGAGGCCGAAACAACGACGCTTGCCGTCGGTTGATTTATAGATGCGCGATTTTTAATGACAGCGACGACGACGACGACGGTGACGGCTACGGCAACGGCACTTGGCACTTGACACTGGGCTGTGTCCGTGTCTGTGGCAGCAACAACCCTAAACGCGTTATGTTTTTATGGCCTCTTGTCCAGGGGCCGGAATCGGAATCTGAATCGACCGAATAGGGACTTGAGTGCAATGATTCACAGATCGGGCTTAGTTTGGCATTCGGATTTGGCGTGGGTGCTTGAAATGTCCTCACTGCGATTTTTACGACTTTTCGAGTGTGTGTGTGTGGCAAGTGAAATGTGAAATGCTTTCTTGCCTGTTTGTTGTGTGTTTTTTTAATTACTTTGTTTTAATAGTCGTAAAATTCCGTGTTTTACGCACTCTGTGGACCAGTCACTAGGTGCAGCAATCGTATCCAACTATCGAACTGTTTTGTCTCTGGCGGCGATTGGTGCTGGTGGTGGTGCTGGAACTGGAACTGTGACCGAGACGGTGGCCCTTTAACGATGCCGTGTAATTGCGTTAACTTTATGGCTTTTTAATTTTTATGTACACTTTTTGTTGTGACAGTTTGTGGAACACACGCACAGGTTATGTTGCTGGAGCCGCGGTTAGATGTTTTACGTATTTTTGATTGAGGTTTGATTTATCTGTTTATCACTTAACGGCAGCTTGATGGAACATCTCTGACTAACTGTGTTCGCAATGGGCCAATTTGTCGTATTTGTCGGATTTGTGGGATTTGTCAGATAGCCGTGAACTTTGCACTTTTACGGCGCTCACGGCAGCGGGAACATATGTGTAACAATTTTTATTTGATGCGCGTGCTTTCGCGGCCGTCGTTCTACTATAAAACGCACTAAAGCGGCAATAATCGGGCACGGCAACAGTTAAAAGACAATAAGTGTTTATTTCACAAAACAGCAGAACAACAAACAATAAACAAGCGGGCGACGAGCGAGCGCGAATCAAACCGAATTGTCTCCGTTAGTCGAGTTGTTGAGTTGCCGAGTTGTAGAGTCGAGTCAAGAGTCGCTTAGAGCTGAGCGATCCGCAGACACTACTGCGCGCCACGATAATAAATATTATAATAAAACGAAATTTTTAAAAGAGTATAAAAATTTCGTGTAATTGGTAATTTTTGCTGCCGACGAGGGCAGCGACGCTCGCGCTGGCAGCGACGCAGCGTTTAGCGTGAGTATTTTCCTATTGAGCGCGAGAGTGGAGAGTTTGTCTGTCTGTTGGTCTGTCTGTCCGCTTATTTGGGGTCTGGGTCTGGGAGAGCTGTTGGCGCTGTTTGGATCGCCGTCTCGGTTTGTGTCCTCGGTATACGGTCGTCCGCGTCGGCCGTTGTGGCGTTACGAGCAGCGAAACGTTTATGGCGCAATACAAAAGCCATGCGAGCGCTCTTATGGGCAGACTGGCGGATGCTGAGGCTGAAACTTTTGCCGGGGCAAGTTAAGACACAGCTCCCAGCTAGCAAATATGTACGCATACAAACACTCTTACACAACTGCAGCTCAGCTATTTGTCTCGCTTGCACGCAGTGCACGCCTGCTGCGGAGCAGAACGGCGCATCGTCGGTGGGTGTGTGAGTGAGGCATGATGGCCGCACATTTTGAGTGGAAGAGCTCAGTGGTGTTTGAGTGCATTTTTGAGTTGCTGTCGGGCCATTTCTTGAACGATTTCGGTTTTAGTGCGCCCAATGGATGCTTAATTTTGATGTTTATAACGTGAGAATGAGAGTGTGCGCTCCCACGCCAACAGCAGCAACAGAAAACAACTGAGCGAAACTATAATTTTGAGTGCTTCGAGTAAGTCGGTTGAGCGATGCGGTAAACAGCGAGTGAAACGTCTTTTTAAGTGTTTTATGCTTTGTTTGGCAAAATGTTATAGTTGATTAAATTATTTTGTATTATTCATGTTGTTTATTTTGTGCCTTGTTGTCGGCTACAACAAAGCCCCCCAAATGAGCAACAATGTTTTCTTATTGGCGCACATTTGATCATCTTTCAATTGACAATTGACAGATAGCTCAACATGCAATCATAGTACATACCTACGATATGCTGCCATAAAGCACAAATATTATTCTGTGTTTATGTCGAGTCCATCCCTTTTTAAAGCAATTTAGTTCAAATTTAGTCACAACAAATTTTATTAATACTTTTTATGAGACCCATAATACACATAGATTCGCGTGCTCGCGCTCAATGTTGCCAACTGTGAGTGTTTGTGTATATGGGTGTATGCCGAGTGTATGAGTGTTTTTTACCCCTATATGAAATTTCGAAAAATCCATAAATTCGAGAGATGTAAAACGCCGACATAGTCACTTTTTTTGTCCGCTGTTGTGTCCCAGTCGCTGTACATTGTTGTCGTAGCTGTTGTTGTCGTTGAAATTGCTGTTATGACATTTTTATGAAAAATTTGAAATTTACGATTGGACAACAAGCAATTTTCGAAAAGTATTTCTTGTTTGCCTGAATCTCATGCGGAAATGAAACGAATTTGTAATTTCTCAACCCAGCCATTTGGTCAATAGCGGAGCTGAGATATAAGTATCTAAAACATAACTTCTAGTGGAGTCAGTAAGAGCTTACAATTAATTGAAATTGCTTGGTTTTGCATGTTATTTATATAGAAATGCTTAAAATCGAGTAATTTTATCTACCTTTTCATGTAGAAGATTGCAACCCTGCTTGAGATTGGCCCCGACTTGTATATGCAACAATGGGACTATCTCGATTGCAAGACAATACCGTGATAATGATTAAAGTCAAGTTTGGGCGTGGCTTGGCTCCTGTCAAATGTAAAACAACAAAGGATTAAAGTGTAAAGGATGTAAAGACCCTGTAGCTATTGTACAAAAAGAGTACAATTTTAGTTGAATAGGCATAAAACAAAACAAAGTTTAAAGAAGCAATTACACCATGGTAGCTTTTTGCTTTGACTTGGTGCTTTAAGATAAGCATTTAAATAATATTGAATAAGGAAAGGTAATGGCTTCTATAATTAAGGGATTTAGTCAAATTAAACAACTGAACTCACGACCCGACTCCATACACACAGAAAATGATTGGCTCCGCATTTGTTACTGTATATATTATCGTGTTACTGTTCGTTGGGGCTAATAGTAGATATTGCTTCAACATAAAATGAAATGTTCAATAAATATTTTAGACTCATTACGACGAGTGAATTTTCACTCACTCATTTCTTTTTTTGCGCTTCACAATTAACAGACTTCCATTTCCATTGCCCACGATTGTAATAAAAATGCAGGGAGGTTTAGTTATTCTTTTATTTGGCATCATTGTGTCAAGCACGAGTGCAACAAATATAGGAAATTCGAACTAAAATATTTGATCGAATTCATATTTATACATTTTTGTAATGGCACATTCAACCATTTTACAAAGTTCCATTCGTTAAAAATATAGTAATATCAATATTTGTGAGTACTTTATTGGACTTTTAACATACAAATATTCTCCTTTGTTGCCGGCTAATGCGATACTTCTGCATATTTGCGATGGCAATTGAATTATTTATCAATCATCGAGTGGTTAACAATAAATCTGACACCTTTGCCATGTTAAATTTGATGGCACACTTGAATGATCGCCGCCTGTAGCGAAGCCCGTGCGGTCGTCACAAGTGTTTAAAATTAATTGCTCATAAATTCCGAATTAAACATTTTGCCACACTTTGGTTTATG